CGAGCGCCACGCCCCCTCTAACGCCCACAATCGCCCACTAACGATTTTAAAATGTGTCCTGCGCCCACATCTATAAAGATTTCCGAGAAGTATGAATGCAATTTGGTTGTTTATTTATACCTATTTTCAAATCGGACCATTCATTAAAAAGTTATACGCAATCAAAATATCTACATATATCTATCTTCCTCGCACTCCCTTTAGCTGAGCTACGAATATAGTCGGGACACGAACCCGAGTACAGCGTTCGCACTCCCTTTAGCTGAGTGACGGGTATTAAATCGTCGGGACACCAACCCGACTATAGCGTTCTCTCTTGTTTATATATTCTTTTTATGTTTTTAAGGTTTTTGGCGGTTAAAGCTGTTCGAAATTAACGGTATAAAAGAGTATGTTTTTCTCTGCATTCGCTTAGCTACCAAAACTATATAATTAGGCTACCAGAACGGTGGAGTTAGGGTGGGAATAAGGTGAGGCTAGGAGTTAAGTTGCGATTAAGGAGGTATTAGATATATTAGGGTAAAAGTAATGTAAGGGATGGTGAGAAAGGTAAGGTTTGTTTGGACTTTAGTGAGGATAAGGTCAAGGTGACAAACAAGTTTTACTAAAAAAAAGTGAAGTTAAAGTAAGTAAGTATAGTAAGGAACATTTTTTTTCAGGTGAGACTAAAGTTAGGTTAGCTAAGAAGAGGAAAACTAGTGCTAGGGTGGGTTAAGACGAGGAAATAGTGAAAAGAGCATTAAGTTGCTAAAAAAGTGTGCTAAGGGTTAGAATAAAATAGGTGGGGTTAAAGTGAGGTAATATTTGGGGTAATGCGGTGTTAAGGTAAGGTATGTTATGGCCAGAAGGATTAGAATATTAGTGCGTTCTAGGTGGGCTTACTGTTTAACTAAGGTTACGCGGGATTTTACTCTGATATTAATTTGAATTTGAATATATGAAAAAATCAGCAATAAATGCTTTGCTTATAGTAGCGGACAACGTCGCTTCGGGTATTGCTAGTTTTGAATAATCTAATTCGGACCTTTCTTGCGAACGTTTCACCACTTTGAAATGCAACTTTGTTTTGACGAAATGCTAACGTAACGCCACTGCGCTGCATAATTGAACACGTGTTCACGCTTTGCGTTCTATTTTTCGAAAGTCCCGTTAGATTTCCAGAAAATTCCGGTTTGCCATTAAAAAGCTTAGTCATTTTTGAGACAATTTGGTTACTAATAAATCATTTTTGGTACTGGCGATTGTTTGAAATTTGGCCTATGGGCGCAACCACTGTGCGTGGGTCAAAAAAAAAACCTTACTGATTGTATGGCTTAGCTCCATAATTTAAACCAAAAACGGATCCGATCGCATAATAAGTGCGGAAAAATAAATTAAGTGCCCCAACCGGAAGTCGGTTGGGGCTCATCTCCTGGGCTTTCACAGATTTTCACAAGCAAAGCTTTAAAAAAAAGTATCAACTTGTTTTGTTGTAAACTGTGGGAATGGTTGATGTTTTAATCAAGCAATTTCGCTTTTTTCGAGAGTCCTGGGAGTCCTTAGGAGCCGAATTTGAAAAAGTCCTTTCATAGTGCACGATTCACACGATTCTGACCCAATTTTTTCCAGAATCGACATCTACTCTTTTATAGTAATACTCGGTTACTTAAAAAAAACTGTTTTAAAAATATGGTTTTTAATTTGTTTAATGTTAGTTTGACATATTCTGAAGTCATCACAAATGTGTGCTACATTTATATTTGCATAGTCCAGATTAGTCATATTTTAGTTCTCTCTGAAGGAAGTACAAGAAAGTACAAGAAATGCTGCATACCTTTGGGCATACTTAAGTCCTCTCTTAAATCCCTTAAGCCCTCTGCCGGGCATTTCGACACTGCGCTGTAATTTCCTGTTTAGTAGTTTTCGGATCAAAACTATATAGATTTCGAAAATACCATGATCGATTAGTGTACGTACGTAAAAAGTAGATTTTAGATGTTAGTCACACTAAAATCAAATTTTGGCGTGCAAAATGTTCACTAAAACCTGAAGAAAAAAAGTACCGCATACTTTTGGGCTCTCTTAGCAAAGCACATCAAAATAGCTCGACTTCCAGTTAAGTCTTTAAATGAAACTTAAATTACCGAAAACTAAGGCAAAACCGCATCGAGTCGGCGGTATACGCTTTTAGTAAATTGATCAACGAATTTTTTTTTAAGGAATAAACTTATTTGGGGATGGCACTCAAAGGCACTCGAAAAGCGAAGTACTCATTTGCTAAAAAAAAGCCGTAAAAATCAACAAATAAATTTATTTTAGGAAACAATTAAGACGTACGAGCTATATTATATTTTTTATTTGTTGAAAATAATCACATCTAAATCTTTCGTGAAGAGTCGCTACAGAGCAGCTACATAAGCATCTCTGACTTCAATATTTTTTTCCATCTATATTTAATAAATTCCCCACTTTAAAAAGGACCCACATATTACATAAATACTAAAATTAGCTTGAATACGATTGAATAACGTTAGTTATAGTCCAATAAAGTTGGCAAACTGCTCAAAAGCAATTTTTGCAAACATAACTTACAAATAACTTTACCTACACATGGATAGACAGGTCACGGCATACAATTTATATTTAGTACATACCTTATTTTAAAAGAATCAAAAGTTTATTTATTAATAAACTATAATTTATCCCGTTTCTAGAAAACCCGGCGAACTCTATTTCGCCACCAGATGGAGGTCAGTCGAGCCCCACCCCCCATTACTCCGATCATGTTAATTCTTTTTTTCAAAATGTCGTGCTAATCTGGTGCTAATTTCGGGCCTAATTCGCGAATTTCGTGCTCGAGTGAAAAACATTTTTTTAAATACCCAAAATGCGGGGTGTAGAACGGCAAACGGCCTACACCCCGCATCAAGTTCTGATCATACTAGATGAAAATGAAGTACCACATAATTTTGTGCTAATTTTGTGCTGGCTAAATCCAAAAGCCCGACTTTCGTGCTCAACGAGAAAATTTTTTTTTTAATTTTCAAAATGCATCTTGTTCTGATCATACTAGATGAACATGAAGTACCACATAATTGTACCCGTTTATGTTATTAGTCTAACATTAAATTCTTTGAATTGTGCATAATTCTATTATTAAAGATGCATTTTTATTACACAAACAAAACTTCTGCACTCTTCAGTAAATTATCTGTAAGAATTACAAATGCTTGCATTAAATTCGTTTTTCGGTCTTTTCCTTTCTTATTGGTTCTATAGTTCATCCTTCCTGTTGACTCTTCAGCAATAAAATTAAATAAAGTTGAATTAAATAAAAAAAAAACAAACTAAAAACACAGGCCGACAAAATATGACATGGGTCGATGTCCAGGCCTGCCACCATTTTATTTCGATAAATGAGGCTTTTCTAAGCATAAGTTGCCAGTACGCCTATAGTCCATCAGCTCTGGTATTTGCGGTATCTTTAATTTAAGAAAATCACAAATTTTCTTCGGCTTTTGTGATATATCTTCAAGAGTGGTCAACCAATTTTGGTAATCTTTTCGGAATTAAATAGTTACATGTCTCTTTTATACGGTCGTTTTGGAAAATTCAATCTAAGTCAACCACAAAAGGAGGTGGGCGCATTCAAAATTTTAAAGTCACAGCTAAGTTTAAAAATCTTCATTTGTGAACAGCGTTTAAGAATTAAATAAAAATATTTTCTTTTACAATGCATTTTTGACCCAAAGATACCTTATGTCCTTAATTTTTAAGCTACTCATCAGGTTTTTGTGAATTGTTTTGGAATTTTTAAAATTGTTTTTCTTACTTCCTTCACAGTGACAATTCACAAACAGTGCCCAAACCTGTCAATGATAGTCATTGCAGAGTACTCAAAAAGGTTCATGCATTGCATAATTAGAGATACAATGATTTAAAACTAGAGGAATATAGTTTCTTGTGAATCTATTTGGCACATTAAAATGCAGGCGACCCAGTAACTCGGGACTCTCCACATCACCATGAATAAGATTCCTAATAAACGTAATACCAAGCATAGTTCTTCGATTAACTAATGATGGCACGTTAATTAGAAGTAGTCTACTAGAATAGGATGGCAGTATTAGGCTTGTATCCCAGTTATGTCCCCGTAAGGCAAATATTAAAAAGTTTTTTGCACAGACTCAATGCGGTCTATATGCACCCCATATTGGGGACTTCAAACTAGAAAGCAGTACTCAAGAATTGGTCGGACTAATGAAATAAACAAGGTCTTTGTGACACAGGGATCATCGAATTCCTTCGACCACCTTTTGATAAATGCAAGCACGCCCCTGGCTTTATTTACTATGGTAGAAATGTGATCAGAAAATTAAAGTTTAGGATCCATATAGACTCCAAGGTCGTCAGCAGGCGTTATTCTATCTAACACAAAACCGCTCCAAGTATAGGTAGAAGTGGTCCTCACCACTGTCTGTTGACCTCCAAGTAGAGCTGAGCTCAGTTTTGATCGCTCTACGTATAAGTTGAATGGTAAGGGTTGACACGAAAAAAGGTCATTTGTTTACACTTAGAACCATTTAAATTTAAGTCATTATTCATGCACCATGTTTGAAATGCATTGAGATCAGATTGTTAGGCTAAACTTGTGCGGGATTATTAAATTGGAGGCACAACTTAACGTCATCTGCGTACATAAGTACACGTGAAGCCGTTAGGACTAGAGGAACGTCATTTATAAATAATGTAAACAGGAGCGGACCAAGATGACTTCCTTGTGGTACACCGAACGTAACTCGGATTAGGGATGAAAAAGAGTTTTTAAAAATGACCTTTTGAGTCCTGCCATTCAAATAACTTAAGATCCATTATAAAGAAACCCTAAGAGGTCCAATTCCCGAACTAAAATCGGATGGTTTACAGAATCAAACGCCTTACTGAAATCAGTGTAAGCCACATTAGTCTGACGTTAGGTTTGTGGTAAGGTCCTTATTAGCCTTGTTGTAAAAACCCGCATACTATAAAATTTGATTGCATTTCAAATTTAGATTGCTCGGGATTTCTTTGGCGCAGGGACCCTCCTCGACCAGATCGCTGTGGTGCGGCTGCTGGCCACGTCCCCTGAACAGCCCGGTTATCCCAGCCCCAATCGCATGACCCACAGTCTATCCTGCTGCCACGCCCGGCGCATCGGCGGCCACGTCCTTGAAGATCATCTGTGGACGCCGGGCGGTCGGCAGTAACACGGGCAAAGGACTGATGACATTCGGCTTGGCCGAAGCACTCCTCTGCCTGCGTGGCATCTTCTCCCCTTTTTTATTCTAGGCTTTAAATTTCCTGCGTATACGTGCTTCCAAAGGGAAAACAGATTTCCGAATGACACATGTGGAGGCATTGAAGGCTAGCTCATAGTCCCCAGGCCTTCTCCTTTTTCCCAGCTTTGTCAGCTAATTCATAGTGCATTGAAATAAAAATTGATTTTCCCGCTTTGCTGTCAAAGGGAGGAAAGCCCGACTTATTTTTATGTAATAGAATAAAGGGTACATAAATGATAGATTTTATGTTTAAAGACGAATCACATTCTCAAATCTTTGCATGAACACGTGGTGACAATAGGTCAACTTTTAAAGTTCGTAGCCCATCAGGTATGCAATTAAAAGCTTATCCAAAGGTTTTTTTTTAGATTTACAAAGTTTTTCCAAAAAAATAAAAACAAAAGTTGACGTATTTTTCAAAACTTCAAAATGTACTTTTATTCCGCTAGATTTATTATTTTATCCACTGTGCGGATCTCCCAAACCAATTGAATTTCTTAAAGTCTTGGTATGCAATCCCTTAAGTTTTTGCGATACCTTTCGATTGGTGTATAACTCATCGGACCATCACAGCAGATTTTTAGTTCTTCGTGTATATATGTAGTAGTCGCCCTCGCAAACTTTCCTGGTGCGCTTCGTCACTACGTGGACTGCCGCCAACAGTGATAAATAAAAATATTTTGCTATATTTGTATACCCTTGCAAAGGGAATTATAATTTTGACGTTTCCGACCCCATAAAGTATATATATTCTTGATCAGGATCAATAGGGGAGTCGATATAGCCATGTCCGTCTGTCCGTCTGTATGTCTGTTTCAATACCTTTTATATGCTCAGTTTAAAAGCTAGCGACTTAAAACTTTCACAGTCGTCCTAAAACATGTGTACGCAGATCAAGTTTGAAAACCGACCCGATCGGACGTCTATATCCTATAGCTGCCATAGGAACAATCGGATATAGCTTTAAAATGAAGATATTTCGCTCAGTGTAAGAGCTATTGATAAGAATCTTTCTAAATCTTATTATTTTACGCATACCTTGCTCAGGGTAAAAGCTCGCGAAATCGGTCAAAACTTGACGTTTTTCAGGATATTTCGCGCAGATTATAAGCTATTGACATGAAACTTTCCGAATCGTGCCGATTTGGCGTCTATATCCTATAGCTCCCATAGGAACAATAGGGTGAAAAATGTTTAAATTTTATTTTTTCAATTATAAAATATTTTGTTGTTTATTAATTCATGTTGCTATTCTAGTCAAGTTTTCATTCGTAAAATCTGCTGGGTAATACCCAGTGGGTATTAAAGCTTCGGCTTGCCGAATGAACGAATGAAAACTTGACTAGAATAGCAACATGAATTAATAAACAACAAAATATTTTATAATTGAAAAAAATAAAATTTTAAAATTTTTGACCCTATTGTTCCTATGGGAGCTTAAGGATATAGACGCCAAATTTGCACGCGCTTTTACCCTGATCAAGGTAAGCATAAAATAATACGATTTGAAAGTTTCATGGGAATAGCTTATATTCTGCGCGAAATATCCTGAAAAACGTCCAATTTTGACCGATTTCACCCTATTGTTCCTATGGGAGCTATAAGATATAGACGTCCGATCGGCACGCGCTTTTACCCTGAGCAAGGTAGCTGATATCTTGGTCTGCGCACATCTGCATGTGATAAATGGGTCATAAACCATATGCATCCAGCCGACGGACGTGTCTTCACACCATCTGTCATAACCCTTGGGAAATTCTAACCCGACCATTTGGTAGATGTAATTGCTTATTTAGGCTATTTTCTTGTAAACTGATAATAAACCATGTTGTCCATTTGTATCTAGACTAGACCTAAGTAAATATCCTTGTAACCCCAAATCATGTATATAAACCCGTAGCCATGCTCAATAAAATAAGTACGAAAAGAAATTTTGACGTATTCACTTGTCCGCAGCCCAATTTGTTCTGTACTTATCGCGGCGACTTTGCCTTTGGTTCTGTACTTGAGGCACGCAAAAAAACCTTTTCAGCAAACCCGATTTCGGTAGAAATCCTACATTTGGTGACTTTGAACCGCAACAATTGTTCAAATTGGGACTCCAAGCCAGCCTACTACAGAGAACGTTTATTAACGTTAGAGTCCCTGTGGGATAAATTCAACTCCGGGGATAATCAAATAAATATTTTCCTCAAAGGAGTCACGTTAGAGCACGATTATTTTAACAATGAATTCTTTAATAAAATTAAGCAATTGGTTGAGGACTATAAGACAGAATTCAACAATCAGTTGTCTCTCTTGGAAGCGGATGTTACATCCACCGCATCCACAGCAGAGGACATCGAAATAGAATCGATGTTCAGAGAACAAAGTGTGTTGCTTGATTGTTTAGAGCGCATCATAAATAAAATGACCGAAGAAACGAAACAGAATTTCTCGACCGTCATAACACAATATTGGAATGAAATAAAAGATATTCATGCCAAAATTTATAAAAAATTTAAGGACCCTAAGGAACTTGGATATGACGACAGCAGATATATGGCAGCAGAAGATGCAGTCATAAAAATACAAACAGAAATGTATGTTAAAAAGGAGACAACAAATAGTTCTCCAACAAATGCTGTTCAAAATGCATTACATTTCCCAAAGGCAGCCATACCCAAATTTGATGGGGATTATTTAAAATGGCAACAGTTTCATAATATTTTCAAAAAAATGATTCATGAATCAACGTTACCCACTATACAAAAAATGTGGTACTTGAAGACTAACGTTAATGGAGAGGCCGAACGCCTAATTCGCCATTTATCACTAACCGAGGCAAATTATTCAACTGCATGGAAAACACTTGAAGAACGCTTCACCAATAGAAGAGTATTAAGTAATACTTTAATTCAAAAAAAATGGGATCCACTTCTACTCTGTCTTCTAACAAAAAAGCTTGATCGACCCAACCACTTGTTATATGAGCAATCCGTTCAAAATACAAGGCAAATTCAGCCTTTGAACGAATTTTTAAGCTTTCTTGAACAGAGGTTTTTCACTCTTGAAGCCATTGGATCGGAAAAAGGAAAAAAGCAAAATACATGTGCATCAGTTGGAGCTGAAACACAATATAACTGTTTCTTTTGTAAGAAACCAAATCACAGCATATATAAATGCAACGAATTTTTAAAGAAAACCCCAGCAGAACGTCTTAGCTGGGTTCAAAAACAAAAATTATGTGTTAAATGTCTAAGCCAAAATCACCCGTCAAAGACATGCACAAAGAGAGATTGCTTTAAATGCAACAAAAAGCACAATACATTGTTGCACTTGGATACAAAACCTGAATTTTCGGATAGCATCACAGCCGCATCTGCAAGTGGAAAGCAATCCAGTTATATTCTTCTGGCGACCGTCCGTGTAATTATTCAAGGAGTAAATGGACAAAAGGCAGAATTCAGAGCCCTGCTTGACTCTGGATCCCAAATTAATGCCATTTCCGAAAGAGCAATTAAAATGCTCTCATTGAAAACTACAAATTCGATGCTGAAAATAAATGGCATTGGTGGAAAATGTCAGACTTTCAATGCAAGGATCAATGTTCAGCTAAAGTCAAAACAAGGCGATTTTAGTTCACGGCTTGAAGCAATGGTTTTGCCTCACATAGTCGCTGATCAACCAACGTATACAATTTCGACTGATAATTGGAAAATACCAAAAAAATATAATGTTGGCTGACCCTCAATTTGGAAAGCCTGGAAAAATTGATATTCTTCTTGGAGCCGAGCATTACTACAATATAATGCAACCCGAGTGCATGAGTATAAAGAATGGACTCCCCAAGCTACAGAATACCAAACTTGGATGGATTGTAGCCGGGAAAATACATCATCAGTATGTACTGTACTTACGGAAGGAGGAAAAGTTGATAAGCAACTCGCTAAATTCTGGGAAATGGATAATTTTCAACCAGAGTAAAAATGTTGGAGAAAAGACTACAAAAGGATCAGGAAATAAAAAAAGGATACATAGAGTTCATGAAGGAGTAGGAAGCTCTTGGGCAAATGAAGGCAGTACCCCATATACATCTTCCAAAGTCCCATTACTTTATACCGCATCATTGCGTTCTCAAACCCGACAGTCAGACAACCAAATTAAGAGTTGTATTTGAGTCTATCCGAGGTGGACTTTAGACGTGTACTGGACACGATCGCCTTCGATGCAAGGGGCCGCCACCCTACCATCATCGCAGCGACTTCAACTCGTGGGCCGAAGAATGGGGGTGCCCCAGCACCAACAGCAGGGGGCGAGCCTTACTCACAGCCTTTGCAACGCTGGACGTTGTGCTGCTTAATGAAGGGACGCAGGAGACTTTTAATCGGGCTGGAGCTGGGTCTATCATAGACCTCACCTTTGTGAGCTCCCCGCTAGCCCGACGTTCTCACTGGAGAATCGGCGACTTCTGCACGGCCAGCGACCACGAGGCCATACTATGCACAGTGGGCATACGCCCGGGACCAGGACCCCTGAACCGGGCAGCCAAGGGCTACCGCCAGGAGACGCTGAACGCCGAACAGATGAGCAGGTGCCTTGCGGACATGCATTTCGTCACGGAAGCGGACGCCGCTCTCCAACGGACCCTGAAACCCTGAGTGAGATCGTTCGCACATTGTTCCCTTCGGGTAGCGCCAAGGAGAGCACACTGCACGAAACGGGACCTACGTGGGAGTTCAGGGCCATAACGGAGACCGAGGTTGCTGAAGCAGGACGCAGCCTGCAGAACAATAAAGCCCCAGGACCCGACGCAGTGCCCAACAAAGCAATGAAGCTGGCGCTTGCGCTTCAGCCGGGCATTTTCGCGGCGCTCTACAACGCCTGCCTGCGCGAGGGAACATTTCCACGGAGATGGAAAGTTCAAAACCTGTTGCTCCTGAACAAACCTGGGAAGCCACCTGGTGAAGCTTCCTCCTACAGGCCAATTTGTCTGCTCGACACAGTTG